TGGGCGAAAAATTAAGTTTCTCCAATCTTCCCAAAACTCTGGATTCTGATAGAGGGCCATGAGACTTAGACCTGAGTGCAAAAATGGAGGCTCTAGCCCCTTCCAGAGCTGAGATATCGAAACTCAAAAATTCGGCCCGAAAAAAAAACGACAGTGGTACCCCTTACGTTTTTTTTTTTGGGCGAAAAATTAAGTTTCTCCAATCTTCCCAAAACTCTGGATTCTGATAGAGGGCCATGAGACTTAGACCTGAGTGCAAAAATGGAGGCTCTAGCCCCTTCCAGAGCTGAGATATCGAAACTCAAAAATTCGGCCCGAAAAAAAAAACGACAGTGGTACCCCTTACGTTTTTTTTTTTTGGGCGAAAAATTAAGTTTCTCCAATCTTCCCAAAACTCTGGATTCTGATAGAGGGCCATGAGACTTAGACCTGAGTGCAAAAATGGAGGCTCTAGCCCCTTCCAGAGCTGAGATATCGAAACTCAAAAATTCGGCCCGAAAAAAAAACGACAGTGGTACCCCTTACGTTTTTTTTTTTTGGGCGAAAAATTAAGTTTCTCCAATCTTCCCAAAACTCTGGATTCTGATAGAGGGCCATGAGACTTAGACCTGAGTGCAAAAATGGAGGCTCTAGCCCCTTCCAGAGCTGAGATATCGAAACTCAAAAATTCGGCCCGAAAAAAAAACGACAGTGGTACCCCTTACGTTTTTTTTTTTGGGCGAAAAATTAAGTTTCTCCAATCTTCCCAAAACTCTGGATTCTGATAGAGGGCCATGAGACTTAGACCTGAGTGCAAAAATGGAGGCTCTAGCCCCTTCCAGAGCTGAGATATCGAAACTCAAAAATTCGGCCCGAAAAAAAAACGACAGTGGTACCCCTTACGTTTTTTTTTTTGGGCGAAAAATTAAGTTTCTCCAATCTTCCCAAAACTCTGGATTCTGATAGAGGGCCATGAGACTTAGACCTGAGTGCAAAAATGGAGGCTCTAGCCCCTTCCAGAGCTGAGATATCGAAACTCAAAAATTCGGCCCGAAAAAAAAACGACAGTGGTACCCCTTACGTTTTTTTTTTTTGGGCGAAAAATTAAGTTTCTCCAATCTTCCCAAAACTCTGGATTCTGATAGAGGGCCATGAGACTTAGACCTGAGTGCAAAAATGGAGGCTCTAGCCCCTTCCAGAGCTGAGATATCGAAACTCAAAAATTCGGCCCGAAAAAAAAACGACAGTGGTACCCCTTACGTTTTTTTTTTTGGGCGAAAAATTAAGTTTCTCCAATCTTCCCAAAACTCTGGATTCTGATAGAGGGCCATGAGACTTAGACCTGAGTGCAAAAATGGAGGCTCTAGCCCCTTCCAGAGCTGAGATATCGAAACTCAAAAATTCGGCCCGAAAAAAAAACGACAGTGGTACCCCTTACGTTTTTTTTTTGGGGGCGAAAAATTAAGTTTCTCCAATCTTCCCAAAACTCTGGATTCTGATAGAGGGCCATGAGACTTAGACCTGAGTGCAAAAATGGAGGCTCTAGCCCCTTCCAGAGCTGAGATATCGAAACTCAAAAATTCGGCCCGAAAAAAAAACGACAGTGGTACCCCTTACGTTTTTTTTTTGGGGGCGAAAAATTAAGTTTCTCCAATCTTCCCAAAACTCTGGATTCTGATAGAGGGCCATGAGACTTAGACCTGAGTGCAAAAATGGAGGCTCTAGCCCCTTCCAGAGCTGAGATATCGAAACTCAAAAAATCGGCCCGAAAAAAAAAACGACAGTGGTACCCCTTACGTTTTTTTTTTTTTGGGCGAAAAATTAAGTTTCTCAAATCTTCCCAAAACTCTGGATTCTGATAGAGGGCCATGAGACTTAGACCTGAGTGCAAAAATGGAGGCTCTAGCCCCTTCCAGAGCTGAGATATCGAAACTCAAAAATTCGGCCCGAATAAAACGACAGTGGTACCCCTTACGTTTTTTTTTTTTTGGGCGAAAAATTAAGTTTCTCCAATCTTCCCAAAACTCTGGATTCTGATAGAGGTCCATGATATCTATTATCATAGAGACGTTCGCAAAGACCCGCCTTTTTTAGTATGTGACGAGCCACGAGCCAGGGAAAAATACATCGCGGGGCAAAGACTAACATTACACCGAGTGATTACGAGAGAGAGTTCAAAACAGCTTACTGATGAGTTAATAACTTTAAGTAATTTAAACAATATGAACTTGAAAATTTCAAGTTCAGATCCACCGACGTTACTGACAGCTTTGTTATCGGACAAAGTTGCTTATTCGGCGTTATGATTGGCCAGGCCACCTGTCAATCAAACCCCTGTGGGCAGCAGGGCAAAATTGAAACGTCAGGTTTTAATTTGATATGACAAATACATTTATTCTATATTTAACTTGTGAACGATCGACCTGCTGCTGCAAGTAGGCCTATAGATGATGGCTGCCTGCACCTTATTAGAATGTACATCAACCAATAAATCGCCTTTACTCTTCACTTCTAGTCTATTCTTAAAACACAGCGTCATCATCGACCCCACAAACTTTCGGTAAGTTTGAATATTAACTTGATGGATGTATAATTTTGCTTTTTGTGTTTGATTAAACTCTATATTCGCCTAAAGGACTGGCGATAATATATCGCAACCCGGTATCACGACAAGACGTGAAATAATCACGTTGGTCCACTTTGGAAAACGTGTAGATGTCACGGTTTAACCCCTTCAAACGTGAAACTTACACGTTTGCGTTAACACATTCCAGTGGAGAGATACCCGGATGTTAACCTATTTTAAATGTATAACATTACAAATGCAGCGAACACACTAATGTCTCCTAATCTGTAAGCACTAAGGTGCTAACGGCACTGAAGTTACAGGAGTTTCTTCCCGTTGCGAAGCAACGGTAGGTCGAGTATTTAAAAGGTTATGGTTAAAACGTGTAAGCGAACCTTTTGCTTAAACGAGGAGCTGGGGCACGCCGGAAAATAGACGTTTTACTCATTTGGCTACTTCATTAAAACGTGACATTTTGACGTTTTTTTTCGGCGTGGATCAAGGCAAATGATTCCTTTTCACCTTGAAAATAATACTTTTTTGCATTTTAATTAATAGAACATTTCTCAGTGATCGTCAATAAAACAAAATTATTGACGATTATTATTGACGAAGGCGATTGCGTGTAGAATAGGTCAAACGTGTAAGTTTCACGTTTGAGGGGGTTAAACCGTGACATCTACACGTTTTCCAAAGTGAACCAACGTGATTATTTCACGTCTTGTCGTTATACCGGGTTGCATATCCGGTAGAAAAATTTAAATTTTGCTGCGCATCGATGTAAGTTTATCATTTAAACGCGTTTTTAAACATTGTGGTTTGGATACAAATTATTTCAAACTGCTCAGGCACAGTGAGCAGCGGGAGAGAATTCATTTTGTAAATACTGGTTTTGAGACCATGGTGAACTTGAGACGGTTTTGCACAGCGCACTTGAATCCGACTCTGAGGTCTCAAAGTGACAGACGCTGCTAATAAAGATGCTGTCGCCATGTGTGTCAATAATGTTAATCAAACATCAGAAAGAAAGTAATTTAACGTTACTGTATTTGACTGAATTACTTTTGCAAAATTAACAAGAATGAATGTTGAATTTATAGTGAAAACCATGTAGGCTATAATGTATATTTGATTACTTTATATAATATAATATTATTCAGTGCTTAAAGTTTTTCATAAGTCGATTTATTGTGCCTTTGTTCTATTTTAATTTGTGACTCTTGTCATCAGTAAGCTTGAGATTATTTTCTTAAGCTACTATTATTTTTTTGGTGATATTGAAATTGGTCAATAATTATGAAATTTTAGTCGCAATACATTTTGATATGATAAAAAAATCGTGTTAAAAGTAACATAACTGTGAAGTATATCATAGATGGATAAAATGACTCGTATAATAATATAACATTTACCTAAAGTGGTGGGGGGGCCCTGCAGTAACTCATAGCCCCGGGGCCCAGTGAGCTCTTAATACGGCCCTGATGCTGAGGTGGGCCCTGTAAATCTCCATTATATTAGATGACTGATAGCAACAATGGTTTGACCGAAAAATATCAAAATTGAAAATACTGTGGAAACAAAGACACCTACATCTTGGATGCCCTTGAGATAAGCTAAAACATATCAAACATTTCAACATAATTCAAAAAATCAACATAATTTTAAAGTGAGCTATACATTTAATGCCATACCAGATGACAATCTTTAGATGAAAACAAACCAGGCCAAAATGCAATGTGCACATTTTAGCGCAACCTTATGTCGGATGGATGTGTGTGGAGGTAGCCGAGTAGTGGGAGGATTTGGAACCATCCAACCAAGTTTGAGATCTCTACGACGTATACAGTGGTCTTGGATGCTTTCAGGCCAGAAAAAGAATAATTTGCAAAACAGAACACAATACTTTGGTGCATGGTCTAGAGTGAGCATTGCTTTTCAGGTGAGTAATATGGTTACACAATGACCCACGAGTCCCATTGGAACACAGAGGTCTAGGTACATCAAGTTAAGTGATGCTATACCATTAGCAATGTTTTATGATATTGAAGCTCTTATCTGTTCTGCTCCCACAAGGGCGTGTAACTCACCCTCCCCCCACATTGTTTGACTTGACTGGCTGCAGATGAGATATTTGAGATAAAGATACTCACTTTGCAAAACATAGGCTGGGGAATATAAAATAATGTAACAATGTAATCCAAAAGGACTAAATTGAGTGGTGAAATATAGAGTAAGAAAGCCCTATGAACAGTGCTTTCGGAAGAACAAAGCGTGTTGGAAGTCTGTGAATTGAAAAAGCACTAAGATAATTAATAAAGATACTCTCTGTTAGCTCTTGGTGTGCTCAAAATCCTTTAAATCTCTATGTGATGTTTTCTTATTGCTGGCAAGCTCAAGAATAGTATTTTGTTGTTCATGTATTCAATTGCAATAAAAAAGAAGACACCTAAAACAATTGAGAATAGATATTTATTTATTTATTTGAACATAAACAAGGGTCAATTTACAAACGTGTGCAGTTTAATGATAATAAATAATTTGTGGAGTAATGTTAATAAATAATTTGTGATCAATATGTAATTTTGTAATATGTAAAAAACAAACCAAGATTAATCCAATGTAATAATGAACAACAATAATAAAACACAAAGACACCTGAAGGAGCTCTAACAAAGTAAAATCTGTAAAATTATATAGTTCTACATTATATTCTTATTTTGCTACCTTCATTATTTTAATAATATATCTGAAGTGTAGCAGGGCATTTCACTGCTTCTCTTCATCTAATGAAACATATGTCCAGACAATGTTTGTCACACATCTGAGATACAGAATATATGCACAATTGTACTACTGCTAAATTGTATTGTACAAATAGAACTCTATTTGCAACTGAATTGAGCTTAATACATCAATACTGGACATTTTGAAAGCATCAAAGCAACAAATATATTCAATATGTCAAACAGAGCCACCCCACTTACGTTAAATTCTGCGCATTAAGATTACACTAAATATCAAATGATGACCGGATCTGAGGTCTGTCCATTTTCATCTGTTAAGAGCAAAAGACATAATGAGGAGTTTTCTAAAAGCAATGGAAGTGATTCTACAATGCTTACAGATAAAACAGTACAAGAAAAATGTAGCCAACTGGATGTTTGTAACAGGTACCTTCTGTGGACGCATGCAGTTGGGCAGTAAAAGGAGTCATTAATGAAAATGTGTCGTTTATCGACCCTATGGCTGCACATTTAGATTTGTTTACTTTATACTGACTTAGTATGAACAACATATGAAGAGTTCAGATGCAAAAGCCTCTAAGTGCCATTTGAAATTTTCTTCTAGAATGATCATTTTTATCAAGCTTGTTCAGTGATTTCACTTAAATGGCAATGATAATTACCCATTAATTGTTATTTAAGTGAAATTACTGACCTTAAATATACAAGTTTGATAAAAAATCATCATTGAAGAAGAAAATTTCAAATGGCATTTAGAGGCTTTTGCATCTGAACTCTTCATATGCTGATACATGTTTATCTGTGTATCCTGTCAGTACTCACAGGCTGATCTCTCTGAAGATAGCGGAGATGAATATCAGGATCAGGTGAGAAATTCGGGTTGTAGAATCGATCTGCAGAGAAATCTGGTTTTCCTAAACTGTCCTGCTTATGTGAGTATACAGGATTATCATATGTGCCATCTGAAAAAACATAAAAAGGTAAGTCGACTAATCAGAGGTTAAAAATGTATCATTTCATATTCAGACGTCTTCTATATACAACGTTAGTTTATTTTAGATCAGACTACAGTGCTCTTATTGCACAGGAAGGCAACATGAAAACATTTATTTGTAGTCGTGTAGTGATCTTTAATTCTCCGTATAGGTTATGGGTATAAATGAGTGATTTATGCCGTGCAAATGACACTCGCTAATATTATATCTCCCATTATGCATGCATGCATTCAAACCAAGACTGCACCTTTCTTTTTGAGTTGCCCTCTATTTTGTACTAGTAGCTAAAAAATCTGTATCTGAAATACAGTGAACAGATTGGGAATGAATAAATGAATGTTTATCAATTCAGGTTAATACCAAGTGTTTTATGTAACAGATTTTTTTCTGAGATAACACTATTTAATTGTGCACAACAATAATTTGGTGAATGATTCAAATGTTTTTTTTTTTTTTTTTTTTTTTTTACCTGTGTATGATCTTTTGTTTTGTGGTGGCCACTCAAAGTCATCATCTAACCATTCTTTCACTAGCTCTTGCTTAATGTCTTTATTCCTGTAAGTCAAAGAAATGGAGTTATGGACAGGAAGACATAAAAACATAACACCGCACACGATACACATTTGGAAAATATGCTATATTCATTAAACCTGAGAGATTGCATTATCCCAGATTATTAGAGGGACTGTCAGAAAGTTTTGATTCATCCACAGGTTTCATGACAAGATTGTAGCCCTCATACATGTAAAATAAATGGTATTAGAAAATTCTCAAGCAAACTACCCTTTCTGGACTTAAGAGTAACTAATGTATTGTTATTGTCAGGGCGTTCACGGAACAATGATCTTGCAATGATCTTATGTTCAAAAGTTTATCAGGACAAGGCAACACAAGACAACGACCCAAAGCACAGGAGTAAATGGCCAACTGAATGACTTCAACAAACAAAACAAAAAAACGGCTTCTGGAGAGGCCCAGTTTGAACCTTATTGAAATGCCTTGTTAATGTTATGAGTTCAAGAGTGCGACTCATTATTCCCAAAATATAGCTGAACTAAACAGTTCTGAAGTTTCATACAATAGCTTACCTTTTTACCACCCGTTTGTTTCTCACGAGATAAACTGTCAGGATTGCTATAGTTATTACTGCAATGGCTGCCACTGTTCCCAATCCGGCATATAATCCAACTTTGTTCACCTGGAAATGGCAGTCCTTTCCCAAGTACCACTCAGCATTAGTTTGGTGGCAACTAGAGCAAAGAGACATTATAAGTCCTTTTAAATTTTCATAAAGACATCTGTACATATTTTTTACTATTGCTTTGTAATTGCTTTTATTTAATTTAGATCATTCCAGTTCTTTAGACTGGACTTGCACCAATCATTGGTCTTAATCACAAGGATTCAAACTTTTGATATTGCTTACATGCCAACTTAAGTATATATTCATATTTCTATAATCAAACTAGCCATTTAGTTGATGCTTTTAGTTGATTAAAAAATAAAACACTTGGGCTATGTCGGGGACAGACGTACAATCATTACGTTTCCAGCCTATATCTTTAACCACCACTATATAGTTAAATAATTAAATTTGTGATGATAATACTCACTAGCAGGATGGACCTTGTTTAGAAACTGCACAGGTGCCTTCGTTCAAACACTCTTTTGGTTCAGGATGATTGTTATTGCATGAAGTCACACATAACACTTTGCCACCCACCACAACACCAACATAATGCTTTTGGAAGTCTTCAGTAATATTTTTTATAGCCTCAGCACACAACTCTTTGGCTGTGGAAATAAAGAGTCATACAAAATAAATAATACATACAAAAAAAATGCCTTATTTTAATAGAAAATCTACGCTACCGTACTTAAAAAAAACTTTTTTTTTTGGCTTCCCTAAATTAATTGTTGGTCTCTCTGTATAGCTTCTCTCCCAATTCTCTCCTTTATTCACTGAAACCTTGTAGAGTCTTTTTAAACCTTTCTAAGTAGTGTCTTGGTTTCTAACAATTAAATTAGAAATGTGATAATGATAATGTTTTGTGCCCTTTTTCTAATGTATGCACTTGTGTTTTATCTCTAAAATTCATATCCAGAGGCCAGTTGGAAGTTATTTGTGTAAGCTTTAAGCTTTTGCAGATCTGATTGAAAATATAGAAAAAAATTCAACATCAAACATTACACATTAAAACGCAATTCAGTTATTTCAGTAGTTCACTCAGTAGTACTTAAAATAATTTTTGTTTAGGCACAGAGTATGCAATTCAATGAAATGACAGATTAACAGTAGCCTATATAAAATAGCACTATTCTTCTTGCCCCTAGCACAATACGTTTACTGAAAACTCACCATTTAGCTCAGTCGGTGATGCAGCAACAGAATTTACGCCTTCGACAATAGAAAAAAAAGGACAAACATATATTAATAATGCATCTAATAACTTCAGAATATATAAAGGGAGGAAATGCATATGACAACCTACCTGAAATGTTTGTTAAGCTTTGGAGAGTCTCATTCACCTCTTTGAGTATATCATCATAATCATCGTTGGCATTTTCATCGTTTTTAATGGAAAAAATAGCATCATGCTGAACTTTCAGACTATCCATATGATTTAAAGAGAGAGAGAGAGAAAGACAGGTTCAGGAGAAATTTCAGGGGGGTTTTTTCAGTGTTTTCAAGCTATATTATTAAGTTTATTTTGAAATTGTGGATATAATACATAATAACAATAAATCAAGTTATTATACATGTTTGTTTTATTACATTTTGCACTGTTACCTTTGTGGGGTATCATTCAAAGGCAAGCTTATTTTTCCTCTATTCCTTTTTTTTATCGGTCCACCAGCACTTTGAAAGGACAAAAGGGCCATAAATAGGGGCATGCTGCATAAATATAATTACAAAATATCTTGTGCTATGACTTACCTTATTCTTATGTTCTTCACACTCACAAAATTAGGTATTTCGCTATAGAAGGGGTCAACCTATAAAAGAATGAAAATGTATCTGTTATATTTCAAGTATAGTAAAAAAAAAAAAACCTCCACTGTTCAAAATAGTTTGTGAAAGTCTTAGATACTTATTTAAATTTTAAAACATGTATGTTACAGCATAGGTAACAACGTATGAAACAAAGAGCCATCTGCAAACAAATGATTAAAAACTAGAGCTTTTCTCAGAGTTAACTTTTTGAATTGACTTCACTTAAATTACTTTTAACCAACTGGTCCAAAGCTGATTTTTAGTAAATATATGCAGTTAGATTCACTCCCCATATTTATGGGTAATAATATGTAAGGGATCAAGCACATTTGCAAGAAAAATGAATAGAAAATGAAAGGTTAGAATTGTTGAAATTTTAATGTTAATAACTTTTCTTGTGTTAACTCTGCAAAAGAGCTCATCATGCTTTTACAGTTTAGACTAAGGCCTTTACTCAAACTGGGATAGTTCACCCAAAAATGAAAATTCTGTCAATATTTACCCTCAAGTTGTTCTAAACCTGTATGCATTTCTTTCTTCTGCTGGACACAAAAGAATATATTTTGAAGAATGTTGGTAACCAAACAGTTGGGGCCCCATTGACTTCCATACTATCATGGAATTATTATTATTTTATTCAGTGGGATCCATCAAATGTTTGTTAACCCATATTCTTAAAAATATTTTATTTTGTATTCAGCAGAAAATATAAATTCATCCAGGGCTTTAGGGTGAGTAGATGATGACAGAATTTTCATATTTTTACTATTTTAACTATACCTTGTACAGAATTAACACCTAAATTGTGTTATTTTAAAACGGGAGGGAGGGGGGAGGGCATCTAATCCACAATACGTACCATAAGTATGAAATCATCAACAAATTCTTTATATATTTCAGATGATGAGTTTTCATATTCAGGAGTAAACTCTTTATTCACTTCAATTGCAACTTGAACTGCCCTGTCAATGACCTCTGAAATAAAAGTTGAGGACATTTTAAGAAAACAAAGTAGTACAGGACTTTCAGAAAACTATTTGTACAATTTTAAGAAAGTACAAGTATAAAATGTAACAACTTTGTTAAAACTAAAAATGGCCTCCTGCCCATCTCATGTAGACGAGATACCACTGTTTTGAGACTATCATGCAATTACAGAAATTCAAGCTATGGTTTTATTAATTACATGTTATTTTATTAACTATATTTTAATTAATGAGACCAATCTTACTGGAAAAAACAACTGCAAGAATTGTCATTCTGAAGATGACACTGTTGCAAAATAATTCCAAAAATTCTTACATGTGTGACGTGGAGATAAAAGTTAATCATATCATTTATTTTTAATATTTGATAGACTTTTTAACAAACCTTGGACAATTTCATTGTTAACGTTACTGCAGTATAACCCCGTATAACCACTCAGACAGATACAAGCCAGGTTGTTTGGATGTGGAGTTCCACCATTTTCACATTGAATAGGTTTGGAGGTTGTGGTTTTAGTCGTTGACTGAGTAGATCTTGTTGTTGTTGGTGGTGTTGTTGTTGGTGTTGTTGCGGTAGTCATAACAGGATCTTTTGGAGTGGTGACATCAGCTGTAGTTGAGGCAGGATTTGGTGTGGAGTTGGTGTCTCCTGTAGCAATATCTTCTGTAATCGTGACACTAGCAGAAATAGAAGTGACAGCTCCTGTAGTTGTGTCAATATTTTCGGTAGATGTGTCACCCTTAGTAGTTGAAGCGGTAACAATTCCTGAAGTCCCGATTGCGCCTGTAGTTGTCGCTATATATGCTGTAGTGATGGCATCATCTGTTGTTTTAGCAGAATCTGTCGTAACTGTAATAGGATCTCCTGAAGTTACACCAGAAATCCCTGTTGTGCTTTCTGCTGTACTTGAAGTTTCACCGGTTGTTGTGATTTCAATAGTTGTTGAAATTTCTGGTGCATGAGTGGTGTCGACTGTAGTTGTAGGATCTCCTGAAGTTACACCAGAAATCCCTGTTGTACTTTCATCTGGAGTTGTAGAGGTTTTTTCTGTACTTGAAGGGCTGCTGGTTGCTGGGATTTCAACAGTTGTTGAAATTTCTGGTGCATGACTGGTGTCGACTGTAGTTGTAGGATCTCCTGAAGTTCCACCGGAAATCCCTGTTGTACTTTCATCTGGAGTTGTAGAGGTTTTTTCTGTACTTGAAGGGCTGCTGGTTGCTGGGATTTCAATAGTTGTTGAAATTTTTGGTGCAGAAGTGTTGTCGACTGTAGTTGTAGGATCTCCTGAAGTTCCACCGGAAATCCCTGTTGTACTTTCATCTGGAGTTGTAGAGGTTTTTTCTGTACTTGAAGGGCTGCTGGTTGCTGGGATTTCAATAGTTGTTGAAATTTCTGGTGCAGAAGTGTTGTCGACTGTAGTTGTAGGATCTCCTGAAGTTCCACCGGAAATCTCTGTTGTACTTTCATCTGGAGTTGTAGAGGTTTTTTCTGTACTTGAAGGGCTGCTGGTTGCTGGGATTTCAACAGTTGTTGAAATTTCTGGTGCATGACTGGTGTCGACTGTAGTTGTAGGATCTCCTGAAGTTCCACCGGAAATCCCTGTTGTACTTTCATCTGGAGTTGTAGAGGTTTTTTCTGTACTTGAAGGGCTGCTGGTTGCTGGGATTTCAACAGTTGTTGAAATTTCTGGTGCATGACTGGTGTCGACTGTAGTTGTAGGATCTCCTGAAGTTCCACCGGAAATCCCTGTTGTACTTTCATCTGGAGTTGTAGAGGTTTTTTCTGTACTTGAAGGGCTGCTGGTTGCTGGGATTTCAATAGTTGTTGAAATTTCTGGTGCAGAAGTGTTGTCGACTGTAGTTGTAGGATCTCCTGAAGTTCCACCGGAAATCCCTGTTGTACTTTCATCTGGAGTTGTAGAGGTTTTTTCTGTACTTGAAGGGCTGCTGGTTGCTGGGATTTCAACAGTTGTTGAAATTTCTGGTGCATGACTGGTGTCGACTGTAGTTGTAGGATCTCCTGAAGTTCCACCGGAAATCCCTGTTGTACTTTCATCTGGAGTTGTAGAGGTTTTTTCTGTACTTGAAGGGCTGCTGGTTGCTGGGATTTCAATAGTTGTTGAAATTTCTGGTGCAGAAGTGTTGTCGACTGTAGTTGTAGGATCTCCTGAAGTTCCACCAGAAATCCCTGTTGTACTTTCATCTGGAGTTGTAGAGGTTTTTTCTGTAGTTGAAGGGCTGCTGGTTGCTGGGATTTCAGTAGTTGTTGAAATTTCTGGTGCAGAAGTGTTGTCGACTGTAGTTGTAGGATCTCCTGAAGTTCCACTGGAAATCCCTGTTGTACTTTCATCTGGAGTTGTAGAGGTTTTTTCTGTACTTGAAGGGCTGCTGGTTGCTAGGATTTCAATAGTTGTTGAAATTTCTGGTGCATGAGTGGAGTTTACTGTAGCTGTAGGATCTTCTATAGCTGTAGGATCATCTGTAGCTGTTTCATAAACACTAGATGAAAATGAAGTGATATCTGTTGTGGAAATATAAACATTGCTTGTTATTGGTATAGCACTGAGCCTATTTTGCTGCACTCAGTGGAAAATCTGTTAAAAACGTACAATAAACGATAACGTTTTTGCAGTACAGGCTTTTATGAGGCAACTAAATAATCAGCAGAACTGAAGTATAGGTTCTATATAAAATCTTAAAGGAAAATAAATAAAATTATAACCTGTTGAACATGAAAGTATTTTGCAATAATTTAAGACATTTCTCCTATAGAACCTTTTAGGTGTTCTTTAAAATAGTCAAGTCAAGAAGAACCCCAGGTTTCTATAGGCTATAGAACTTTTTTCCCTAAAAGTTCTCTGTTTATATATATATATATATATATATATATATATATATATATATATATATATATATATAAACTGGCTGTTAAAAAAAATTGAAATAAAAGAATTGAAAGGGGGTGGGGAATAAATGAAATAAATGTTTTTCTCTGATGCTAAATAGTGCTAACTACGTGAAATAGCAGTGGATCTAAACTAACAAGTTAGAAAAAAAATTCACCCCCTTCACGGTTGTCTGGCACTCGGAACCTATCGAAAAATACAATAAAGTCCATGGGACCAACCTGTAAAAACATGAATTTAAGCTGTGAAAACAGACATTTTAACATGGGGTCTATGGACATTTGCTCCTTTTGGGACCTCCCTCTTGCAGATTTTCAATGTATTGCAGTTTTTCGCACTTCCGGGTAGGCTTCAATTTTCAGATACTTCCTCACTTCTGTCCTAATATAATCCAGCACTGTCTAGAATCACGCAGCGGAAGAATGGAAAGTTGACAAGCCATTAAAAAGTATTGACCTACGAAACATTTATATATTTTCAATAAATCATGTTCCCATTCACTCTGGCGACAAATTTTAAAATTAATTAAACTAAATTCTATTTATATCATTACCTACCTAATGCCAAAATGTGATGTGAAATGGGGGGGTATGGGTACGACAGTTTGATTGACACATTTTCTGCCCAATGGTTTTAGGGGGTCTTGGAAATGATTGACCAGAGTTTTTCTGAGTCCTGTCCATTCCAGAGATTATTAAATTGCTTAATTTTCAATTCAGTGCTTCTAACTCAGTGGCTGTAAGTGGGTTAGGAATAGGTTTTCAAGTAATTTTGAAAAAAAAAGTAAAAAAAAAAAAAAAAGAAAATCACATACCCCACTTTTAATAATACAATAATAATCTAATTTAATTTAATTAATCATATGTGTTTATGCTTGTTAAAAGTTTTTTTTTTTACTGATTATGAACACAAATTAATCACGACAAATCAAATTAATTGTAATTGTATTAATTATACCATTCATGAAATACCAAGGTATTTTAGGCCTACAATTCTAACATGATTTTTCATGAAAAATCATGATTGTATTTATTTATTTTTCGAAAGTAAGGTTAAATGTATAAGTAGCTTCTTGCAATACTCTCCTAAATACGTAATAAATCCTATGCGCAAACATTACCACTTTAATGACCGTCCTTTATTTTTCAGTGCATTTGTTTTACAATATATGGCTATTACTGTCATGGGATTAATATTATAACTATTATTATGTAGTAGTGTAACGTAGACAGACACAGCTAAAAGAGGTTTCAATTTTCCTTTGTTTAACTTGCACACTGAATATGGGTTGGAGCTTTTCATTTTGAATTGTCAAAGTGCAACAGTGGGGGGGGGGGTATCACTGTGTCGTATAATTAGCGTATAACGAGCACAGGAAACACAGTGAAAACACATACTATAAGCATTGACATGTTTTTTTCCCTATTAAAATTATAGCCAATTATCAACATATAATTATTATTATATTATCAATATATCAAATTATCAATAATTCAAATCATATTATCAAAACATTCTTTTTAGTTGCAGATTTTATTATATGTGTAGGCCTATATACAATTAAATTCTAAGATTAAAAAAATATAAGATTTAGAATTTGATGTATATTTTTCTCCCTACCTGAAATAAGAGACAGACTCAGGATCAAAATGAATGAAGATGTGTAGCTTATCCCAATCATTTCCCCAAATGATGCTAGTATCCAAATACGTGAAAAATAATTTGTTCTAACACTAGAACCTCAGTCTTTAACAGGTGTAGCCTCTAACACATCTCAGCTTGTGCACCTTCAAATGTCCAACTCATTGTGATTTACTGACCTAAGTACATGGTTTAGATATTATCACACATTCTGAAAGCCTTATTTATGTATCAGTCCAGAGTCCAGAGAGGGATGGTATGGTAAAGATCATAAAACACTGATAAAAAATCAAGACTTATTTTCCTCCAACCATTTCACATTGCTATATATTTCCCGACGTCATTTTATGCACTGACATTACACAAACTGGTGAATATTTCCTGACTAGCCCATAACACTGTGAAAAACGTTCTTGTTTTGGATATGACGGCTGACTTAAGGAACACAGCTTTTCCACAACACATTCTTGTTACTTTAAATAATAAATTATAAAGGCAAATGCATTTTTAAATTGGGCTTTCAGGCAAAACATTTTTTTAAGATATTCAAAAACTACAAATAGTTTAGCTTCTTATACTATATGCATATTGTGAATTTTGTAACTGTGGGCTGGACTCAACATTCTTATGGAGAATGTAAACTACTGTGTGTTTTGTTTCAATTTCTCCATTATGCCCTTCAAAGTTTAGCTGATACAATATTTTAATAATCGAAACTATAGCCCAAAAAATGCTAAGATAATGTTAAATGATTATGAAAATAACCTTCAAAGCACCTACAGTATAATTGTTAGGGTTGTTTCTTTCTTTCATTCCCAAATAAATTCAAATGAATTACATGTTCAAAAGGGATAATTAGAATTTGGAAACAAATGGGGAGAAATTAAACACAGCAATGTAATCAGTAAACATTACCAAAATACAAGTTATTTCTGTTTCATTTATATGATCAATTCAATGATTGAAAAGCTTTCCTCACACACAGGTAATGATTTTAGAACAAAGGTCAATGTTATAAACGTTGGGAACGTATTCTCGATCTCGCTCACGCATCATCTATATGTGCAAGACATGGCCTGATGCAGTGTAAGATTCTACATAGGGTTTACTATACAAATGCTAAACTTGCTAAAACATGCCCCTCTGTCAGTGATGTATGTAACGGGTGCAAGCAATCACCAGCAGATCGCATTCATATGTTGTGGGGATGCCCTAAATGATGTGATGATTACTTGACTAAAATATTCAAAATTTTGGGGGATGCCTTTGCCATAGATCTTGATACAAATCCACTCCTGGCCTTTTTCGGGATGACTGATGTTAACCTTCAGTAATGGTTCAAAAGGCTCTAGCCTTTACTACTTTAATAGCAAGACGTCTCATACTTTTGAAGTGGAAACATGCCTCACCCCCTTCCTTTGATGGCTAAAAGAAGTGTTAACTTGCAATTGCATTAAATTGGAAAAAATTTGACTATCACAGACTGGTTCTTTAAAAACCTTGATAAACTGTGGTACCTTTGAACATGGGGTCTACCACCATTACATGCCTGAAAGAGGCACTCTCATTAACCAAGCCAAGACGGGCCGTCAGAATATTTTATTCATCATGGGCCCAGCCTCAGGTCTGATGTAAGAAGCGCCTGAGGAGTCGTGGAAGAGAGGAGAGGGCTAAGCTATATTAAGCCCTTAGGGGAGGTGATCCATCACCAATGCTGTTTGCGTTTGTGCTGGATCACCTCCCTCAGATCCCTCTTTTTGCGGGAATACCGCCTCTTCTGTGACCTACTCCTCCACAGAGGGGGTGCACGAGAGGCGACGCTGGCTCTCTAGCTCTGTCTAAGGTCCTCGAACCGTGACGGGACAGGCCCTCCCGCCTGTCTGGTCGTGGACATGGATCTTAGTGGTATACAAGTTTTAAACGTCGCTGTGCCTTTGCCTCTCTGAACTTTACAACCACCACTTCTACGGAGGTGTCGAAAAGCTCAGAGGGCCAAACTGTCAAATCGAGGAGAATGCCCTTCTCTTTCTCCCCAATGTCAGCCAGGTTCAACCACAGATGTCTCTCCGTGGCCACCGGCTGAGCTAGGTCATGTCATCTTACCAAAAGGTCTAGTTTTATCTTTTTATCTTTTTCTATATCTTTTACTCCACCAATCCAAAAACATTGTCCACAAATCCCCATTATCAAATAGACAAAAATACAGATCACTATTTTCAGAGACACAAAATTAGATCAACTCACTTCAAAACTGTTTCAGCTGACAACATCTCACAAATGTTGATATTCATATGAAATGACAAAATTAAAAATAGCAAAGCCATTCATCAAAAGTGCTGAGAAGAGATCTATGGTCTGGAGATATTTTTATATATTTATACAAATTTACTGTTTACCCCTTTTAAAAACAAACGTGAGACAGAAAAATACTTTTTTAGAAGAGGGATGAGACTGGCACACGACTAAATTGCACAATGGAACATGGAAAATGTATTTTATCATTCACTAATTATGGGAAGGTGATGTCTTTGTTTTGTTTGCTGTCATGGTTCCAAACAATATATCCACAATCAAGGTTGGCATGTATGAACTGAGAAAACCGGAATCTGTACTTTGTCTGGTGAAATGTAATAGTCATTCTCCAGAACAATATCTATGTCTGTACAACCTCCATTTTCAGCTCAAGATTAACATTTAAATAAATCTGCCTAAGATTGTGTTGCTCTTCAGGCCAACATTAAAAATAATACACAGTAAAATATCCTATTCAATTTATTGTAAAAAAAAAAAAATAATAATAATAAAATCTGACAGCTCTGATTTGCCAATAATCTATCATAAAAAATATGGTGACAAAATTTTAGAAGATGACATAGTGGCCAATATGTGTTAACTTATAACTGTGTATTTCATTAAGTGATACATGTCAAACATAAATTTGACAGTAGTAAATTACATATAATGTGATGTTAAACCATACAGTTTGTTTTTAACATATTAAAGGGTTAGTTCACCCAAAAATGAAAATTAAGTCATTAATTACTCACCCCCATGCTGTACCAACCCCGTAAGACCTTCGTTCGTCTTCGGAACACAAATGAAGATATTTTTGATTAAATTTGAGAGCTGTATAACTACCACATTGGCTGCCTAAGGGACTGCCTCTTGACGGCCCAAAAAGTCAATGAAGAAAATGTTTAAATATCCCAAGTGACTACCGTGGCTCAACTGTTTATCAAGCGACGCGAATACTTTTTGTGCGAAAAAACAAACAAAAATAACGAGTTTATTCAACTATTTCTTTTCTTCCTTGTAGGCCAGAAACGAGATTTCCTTAGATTTCCACGACGCATGCGCGAGAATTGCGTTCTGAAGTAGTGTAAGCAGATTGCAATTCTCGCGCATGCGTCGTGGAAATCTAAGGAAGTCTCGTTTCTGGCCTGCAAGGAAGAAAAGAAATAGTCGAATAAACTCGTTATTTTTGTTTGTTTTTTCGCACAAAAAGTATTCGCGTCGCTTGATAAACATATAGTTGAGCCACGGTAGTCACTTGGGATATTTAAACATTTTCTGCATTGACTTTTTGGGCCGTCAAGAGGCAGTCCCTTAGGAGCCAATGTGGTAGTTATACAGCTCTCAAATTTAATCAAAAATATCTTCATTTGTGTTCCGAAGACGAACAAAGGTCTTATGGGGTTGGTACAGCATGGGGGTGAGTAATTAATGACTTATTTTCATTTTTGGGTGAACTAACCCTTTAAGATTTTTTTTACATGTTCTTCTGTAAAAATTACAAACATTGTGACCAAATGATGTTATTTTTTATCTTTGACTAATAAAGATTTAATTGGTTGAATGTTACACTTTTTAGTTTAAAGTGGACAGGTGTGGCATTGTGTCCTGCCCCAGTATGTTTCCTGTATCCTGGCCTGTGTGTCCACCTAGTAACTTGTCATATGCTTATCAGAAATATGTTACCTAAGTTGTGCTTTTGGTCATGGTTGATAACAGTACTGTAGGCCTGTTTTATGATTTACTGTATGTCTTCGTAAATAAGTATTTTATTACTTCTGTCCAAAGCTGACACAAACATGTTGCAGATAACAATGAAATGGTTTATTATTCAGAACCCTGTCATCAAATGATGGCCTTGTTCTTTATTGATATCAAAGGCTAAAATATAGTTTGTTCAAATCTCCAGTGACTGTGGAAAAAACAATAGCTATGGACTCTGGACCATGAAAATACCTATACTGACTGAACTTTCAACCTGCCTGTCATCTAACTTTCATGTTTTATGAGGACAGAACATTTTATGAACACAAAAATATCCTTACTGCGTCATTCTGTAAATGATTTTTCACATATTTGAAAAATCTTTAACAGAATGCCCCAGTAGTTATTTTAAAACTATATTAAATATCAGCTGACTTTGTCGCTGTGTTATATTTGATTAGGGTGATCATATTTTGATTTCCAAACCAGGACACTCGGCCCCATTAAACAGATACTCAAATGATACTCGAAGTTTATTCAAAGATGCTTTATTAATTTCAATACATTTAAAGTAAGCTATGCCTCCTCTGAATGGATAGAAAATTGTTATATTACAAGACACAAATTAAGATAGGCTTCTCAGAGGTTACTCAACATGTTTTACTATGACAGGTTTCAAAAATAATGAATGGAATAATGATAGAAATGATGTCTCTTCTGTATTAGAAAAATAAATATATAATAAATAACAAACAAACAAAATACCCCAAAATTGAACAAAAAACAGCTCTCACAAACTTACAAAAACGAACTAACAAAATATATTTATATATTTAGTATTCTTCCTCTTTATCCTGTTTTTCTTCCTCATCCTCCTTGTTTGCCCATCTTTATTTTGCTGTAGAGCTGATCTTTCCCAGCAGTTTTTTGAAAACCAAGACATTTTCATCACTTTATAAAAATCAGCCTGGACGGCCAGGAGGACAGGGCGTGAAAACGGTACTTGTCCTGGGAAAATAGGGCTGTTGATGCTTAAATGGATATACAAGCAAATGAGCTGAAGCATTATATGAGAGAGTATTGGAGCACATTTTGTTTGTCATTATATTCGCTAAGTGCTTCAAACTTTATATATGGCTATAATATTCCCCTATCAATCTGTTTCGAGTTATTTTGACATGTGTACTACTTATTCCTAAACTATGTTGTTTACTGTTGTTACAACCTGCCATATTTTATTTCAAATTCATGAGTCATCAACTCACTAAGACCAAGAGGGTTTACCACCAGGTGGAGATCTAGAGCAGTTTGCTGAGGTTATCGATTGCTGAGAGATATGCAGTATGATTGGGTCAGAGTGAAAAAGTGGTTTTGTGGAATTGCACACACCAGCCATAGGTGACCACTGGGTTTATAGAAATAATTTTACTTGTAAAGAGACAAAGAATGCAAAAAAAGGATTAGGCTACATATCAAATCAAAAAAAAAAAAAAAAATCAGTAATAAACTATAATTTGTAGAGTAAAGCCACCCTGAACTGACTAAAATTCAAGCCGCTCTGCCATTTTACAGTGGCATACATGCGTTTCCACTCTTTGGCCTGCTGGGCGAGCAGTTTCAAACAGACGCATGATGGGTATAATTCTGCATAATCAGCTTTATGTGTTACTCTGTGTGATGATTTCTATCCACTTGAAGCACGACTGAGGATCTTATGCCTGCCATCATTACTGTCATCAGCATAATATAATATAGTATAGTATAGTATAATAATTATAATTATGCTTAAGGAGTGATTCAGTACATCCATTTCTTTAATGACTTTCATTTGTCTCACATAGGCCTAAATGTACTCAAATACATAAGTTTCTTATTGGTGCATGAAAAACATTTTTTGTTTCTGACTAAACATGTCATCTTCCTAATGGCGTAACTAGTTCTTGAATATAATCAGCATTTTGTCTTCAAATTGCTGAAATTTACAGCAGTAAATTATGTGGCCAGAATTATTGGGGGCAGAATGAGAGAGGGAGAGAGAGATTAATGTGTCCATGCAATCACCAGTAGGCCAGCAATTAGATAATAGGTTGAGCTCAGCAAACAGATGCTTTTAACTGCCCTTATTGATTGCCCTGACAAGGTGCTTTTTTCTATCCACCATCTCTCTGCGTTTTTCTGTCTGCAGTTTTTTCACTCTCTACTTGGCTTGAAAATACATGGATGCCAAGGCTGGTGCTGATTTGGCAGGAATCACAGAATGCAGAACCAACAAAGAAGAAGATGAATTTACTCTGTATTAGCATTTAAAATGGTGCACTATAATTTTCCAATTAAAGACTAAAATATTCTCTAGGTAAGACGTACACGGTCCCACTTTATATTAAGTGGCTTTAAGTACTGTGTACTTACATAGGAAAATAAGTACAATGTACTTATTGTGTTCAGGTTGTATTGTAAAACACTTTTGCTGCTATTGAGGTGTGATATGGGTAAGATTAGGGACAGGTGTGGTGGTATGGGTAGGTATCAGGGTGGGTTAAGGTGTAAGGGAAGGGTCAACTGTGTAATTACAAATGTAATTACATCAATTAATTACAGTTGTAATTACATGCAGGTATTTTCAAAATATAAGTACAATGTAAAAACATGTATGTACACAATACGTCCAATGTATCAAAGTAGTAACTTCAATGTAAGTACATAGTACTTAAAGCCACTTAATATAGCCACTCTTTTACCATACATATTCAATAATAAAATTTAGTCAGCACACATTTATTACAATAACACATATTTCAAGTGACCCACACTTTAATATCATGCAGGTCCCAATGTTAAGGGGATACACTAATGTCAGTACAGGTCCTTGATGGACATTGACTTAATGTTCACAGAACTGTAACCCAAAGAAGTTTGCAGGCAGTACTGAGCTCTACTGAGATGGTTTACAACAGGTAGAGGAACTCAAGGCTTCAACATCTGTACAGGCTAGTTCATTATAGGCCCATGATTAATCCGATGACTTGTTTTGCCTTTTCTGTGCTGATCATACTAAATCTGTGGAATAGATGTTTAAAAAGGTGTGATCTAAACTGATAAATCTGAACTGAGAGTACCACACTCTTTTTTCTATCGAAAAGCATTACTCTCCTGTATCAAAATGTTTAAACATACAAGTGAGGGTCAATACATTCAACTACTTCAATTATGTGGAAATTAGTTTCTGCTAATTCTTTTTGGGCCTGGTCATTAACAATGAATGTGAGGAGGAATAAAGGAAATAACTGTGGAGAGTGGAGTAATCTTAGCATCTATTCATGTAATCTAATCATTTACATGACAAATTTTCTAGGTAAACAGCAGGTTTAAAGGTATGTAAAAACAAGCTGTAAACATGGACGAGTACAATGTGGACAAGAGACAACTTAAGTCCCTTAAAGTAATTGAGATAATCCATCCTTTTTGTTGTTGTTTGATAAGTGATGAAGACAGCTGAGGAAGATTGGATCAGCACTGTAAATTGACATGTGAAGGTACACAATCTTATCTGAAACAAAAATTAATCAAATACAAAGGTAACATGCTTACCTTTTGGAAAGATGGCTATGTGGTTTGATAATGCAATGATACCTTATGCATTAGGCTGCTTATTTAACAGGAAAAAAATCCTGCATTGTAACGTGCAGTAGCCTATGCTGACATTTAAAAAATATTTTTTAGAGTTGTAGGCTTGTTTTAATCTATTTTGGGGGTGTTATTATTAGAGAAAGAATCTTTGTGATACATATATATATATATATATATATATGTATATATATATATATACATAACACTGTGCGTTTACCCGGCGGCGGCGACACAAAACAAGAAATACAGTGGACCTGTCAAGTGCACTTAATGCTGACGCCTGTGCAAACGACGCACCCTTCGCACAGGCACTTTAGAACTGGGTGGTTGAGAGCGAACAGTGGTGCATCATCTCGCGAGAACTCTGGTTTGTTTGGGGTTTTTTTAGTCGATTTTGCTTATTATAACGAGTCTCCCCCTACCGACACAGCAGTGCAGTGCGACTCTTCTCCTAGTTCAGTCAGAAGCTTGATCCAGCGTTAAAATCAGACAGGCGACACTATAATTCACTCCCTTCACGCTACCCCTAGCACAGTTGTCCTGCTTTTGCTTATCGCCCTACGGCACGGCAACAATTCTGGCTTTCTTCATTCAAGGACAAGCAGAGGAGGGGAAGAGCCCAGGGCAGAAGCGCTGAAGCAAAGCCGGCTTGTGAACTGGAATCGCCAGGTAGCCTACAATAATTCAGTCATCTTTGCGGCTTCTGTAGCTTTTACTCGGGCACTATGTTCTTCAGCTGACTAGTCCAACAGGCTACATTTTGTAAAAAATAATGAACAAATATCTAGAAGATGAGATCAGAATTTAGCGTCAGGGTTTTAGTTACTCTGGGCATATTTACATTTCGATTAATGTTGCATTATAAACGATTAAGGCAGTTTTGTTTATATGATATCGTGTGTTGTTGTTGTTCAGTCAATAATAGTGATCGGTTTGTAGGGGTTTTGATTAAGAATATAGTGACGTTTAACGTCGTTGATTATTTTATGTCATTTTGAAGGCCAACCCGATTATTGCATAATTGTTATGAAGCACTGACTTTAATTTCTGTTCCACAGTAGACTAATTCCGGACAAAATGCCGCTAGAATTGTGCGCATTACGAAGAAATATAATTATAAAGTAAGTAAGTAAGCAAACCGAAAAACATTTTGGGTATTGGATGCTCGTGCCTTTAATGGTCATATTTGTGGCGCTGAAGAATGGATGAAATTAGACATGCTAGAGAAATACAGTGGCGCACGCGCACTTGGAGAACCTGGTTTCTGATAGCAAGTCTTGTTTACCTTCGCCACCTGTCTACTTGTAACCTTTAAATATATATATATATATATATTAACTAGAGCGTCAACCGATGGCTCGGTTGTTTTGAATCCTTCTGGTACGTAAAAGGCTCAATTTACGTTTTTTTTTTACACTTATTTGAATGATTTGTGTCTTTACTGCTATGCTGACATCTCCATCTCCATTATATGTCGTAATGCACTCCCAATGTGTAGATATAACACATCGCCTATTAGTTAGCTTGCTCCCCCCACTCAAACACACACAATTATGTAGGCCTATCACAATTATACATAGGGATGGATTTCAAGGAATTTTATCTCTTTTTGCGTGGGTGTTACCATTTTTGTACACGGCAGTTTAAGAAATATTCCAGATGTTTCCTTTTTCTAATTAAAATATTTCAAACTAAACAATTTTCTTGGAAATATTTTTTCTTAATTGTTTTTCTGTATTTGTCCTCAATATCACTTTCCCTCATGTTAGTCTTCTGTTGTTTCCCTTTATCTTTCAAAAGCCAAGCTGTGATAACATCATCCTCCAGGCAGATATCAATGAAATGTTTCAGTGACATTTTCCTAAAATGGTTCAAAATTAAATTACTGGTGACATCCTCATGTAAGCTAACTCAAATCCCTCCCTGATAAAAGTCTTAACTCTACCTTTTTTATGCTCAGTTGCAACAGTAAAAACAACCTTATAGGGATAATTGAACGTTTTACTTGATTTGAACAGAGCACATTTCTAAAAGTCTGATACCTACAACACAGGCATATTAATTTAAGTTAGATAGCTCAAAATGTACTGCATTACAAGAATGACCCACTTGGTCTCTCCATTACATAGAGACTTCTGACTCAGATGTTGATGCAGTTATGATAAGCTTTTAGTCTTCAGAAGCTGTGCTCCGTTGGGAAAACTTAATTATAGTCGTAAAACTGCATCAGAGATGGGCAATTAAGGTTGATATTCTATTGTAGCATGGACACTACCTCATCAACTGGGGGATTGTTTGGAAACTTAAAATATTGTTGTTGTAATTGGAATATTAGCATGTCCGCAGTTGGCTTCTGGACAGCATGAGCACAAGTGTGTATGCATGGGCACGTGTTCACAGCTGAGCACTCTCTCATGAAATATTAGATGGACAGACCACGAAACGGAAAATTCCATCGATCTCAGTGCCGCTCATCAAACTGTCAGTTTTGAAATGCTTTGGCCTATTGGTCATGTCACGCTGTGGGTACCACGAACTGACAACACAAATAGAGCATCATTTAGGTTTGCTGGCTGGTGGTATTAATTCAGTTAAGATCTTAGCTTCCACTGTTAGTGAGAAGGAGATTCGAACTAATCATGTTTATTCTATTCTGTGCTTTACGGAAAAAATTATGAAACCAAGTACCGACTGGACAAATAAGTGAGGATGCAATGAGGAGTGCAGGCTCTTAATTTCCATGGCAACAGAGCTCAACCTGAGTGATTGTGACACATGCAAAGAATGAGAAAGGGACAGATATGCCTAATGGCTTAGCATTAAAGTTTCCTGTTTAATTTAAAAAGACAGACTGTTGTTCTTCCTCATACGAAAGAATTGTGGAAAGTTAGACAGAGAAAGAAAGCTGTGTGTTTAATGACATGATGGTGTGCACAACAATGTGTAATCCCAAGCTGAAAGCAAACCCCCCAGTGAACTTCATACATGGATTCCAGGATCTAATTTGAGTCCCGGCAGCCTCTCCCCCCTCTGCGTCTATCCGCGATCCCCACTTATAGCTACCCTTGCCCCCCATTTCCGGCGTGCAGCTGTCTTTTAAGATATTAATAAATCCATTGAGACGCTGTGACTGATGAATTGCGTTGCAGTCCCCCAAGCCTCTTCACTATTTGATTCCAATATAATCTTACTTGTTATTTTAAGATCGGTTTCTCTGAAACAGCCAAGAGATTATATAATGAGCAGTCCAGTTTAATGCATTTGACACCAATTCCTTATTAAGATTATTTTATCCCAATAATCCATCGATAGTGCCTTTTGAAAGCCTCCATTTCATTATTTTGCAGAACACAAAAGAAAATATTTGTAAGAATGTTTCAAATAAATAAAAACAAAAACATTTTCCAAAATATCTTCTTTTGTGTTACACCGAAGAAAGAAAGTCATAGGCTTGTTAGCAACATCAGGGTGAGTGAATTGTCATTTTTGGGTAAACAACCTCTTTAACTGTGTAAAGGTTGGGTTGATGAGAACACTTACAGTAAGTGATGCTTTGTGTAGGGTGCTTGTAAAAGAGAAAGGGCTGGAAAGACAGGGAGGCAGATGGACTGATAGAGAGAAGTAACACCCTCAAAAATAGAACCCCACACAGGCAAAGGAGGCTGGGGGAACAGAAATAGCCTTGTTTAAACAGACACTCACACAGCTGCAGTCAAATTCATGTGCTTTTATCCCTAACTGTGACCCCAAAACTAATCCAGTCAGCATAGCAACCAGGCAACATGTAAACCATAAACATTCACCTCACCGGTGTGTTTGCGGGTCCTAGAAAGTGAGCATTAAACCGAACTAGGGCAGACTCTGAATTTATCTACGGATCAGTCCCTTTTTGGTTGGTCGCACTGTTTTAGCCTTCTTGGCCCAGTGTTCATTCAGTCACAATAGACTTTGAGCATGCAAATATTAAATGTACATTGAATTCTATCAAGAAGCCGGTATTTTTTGCTATGCAAAGTTCGCAGGAATTGAAATTTATTCCTGGGGAAACTTTATTTTAATGAGCTTATATTTCTGGGATTCAGCATTCACGTGCGTAGGATGGAATTGAATGGATCGCAAATCTCTTTTGTTTTCGTCAGTTTTGTAACTTTTGTCTTTCATCCACAGGTCATACTGACCTTGGCTCAGAACAGTGAGATCACAGTAGTTTCCCAGCGAACAAAAGAAAATCACCATGAAGACGTCAGACATTTTCCTTCTGCCCGCTGTGCTCCTCATGTTCATTTTCAACTGCTGTCTCGCACAGAGTGAATCTGACCTCGTAGTACCAACGAGGCTAGGCCGTGTGCAGGGTGTACGCTTGCCTGTTCCAGACCGGAATAATGTGATCGCTTTCTTGGGCATCCCGTACGCTGAACCTCCGCTGGGGAAGAGGCGTTTCAAGAAAGCCGAGCCCAAAAAGCCCTGGAATGGTATCTTCGAGGCTAGAGACTACCCAAATGCCTGCTATCAGTTCATAGACACCTCTTACCCAGGCTTTCCAGGTATCGAGATGTGGAACCCCAACAGAATGATGAGCGAGGACTGCCTGTACCTTAATGTGTGGGTACCTCCTACTCCTAGGCCACAGAACCTCACAGTAATGGTCTGGATATATGGTGGAGGCTTCTATAGTGGCTCCTCCTCTCTTGATGTCTATGATGGCCGGTACTTGGCATACTCTGAAAAGGTAGTGGTTGTGTCTATGAACTATCGTGTTGGAGCTTTTGGATTCCTTGCCCTTAATGGCTCATCAGAAGCACCAGGAAATGTGGGTCTCCTTGACCAGAGGATGGCCCTCCAATGGGTCCAAGAAAACATCCACTTCTTCGGCGGTAACCCAAAACAGGTCACCATTTTTGGAGAAAGTGCAGGAGGAGCATCAGTTGGCATGCATGTTCTGTCACCAGACAGCCGTCCGCTCTTCACACGTGTTATAATGCAGAGCGGTGTTCCTAATACACCCTGGGCTACCGTTAGTTTTGATGAGGCCCGTCGGAGGGCCACCTTGTTGGGCAAACTCGTTGGCTGCAGCGAGGGTAACGATACCGAGCTGGTTGACTGCCTGAGGAACAAACATCCACAGGAATTAATTGACCAGGAGTGGCAAGTGCTCCCCTATAGCAGCTTGTTCCGCTTTTCCTTTGTCCCCGTCATAGATGGTGTTTTCCTTCCCGACACCCCAGATGCCATGATCAGCTCAGGGAACTTCAAAAACACTCAGATCATGCTGGGTGTAAATCAGGATGAGGGATCTTACTTCTTGCTTTACGGTGCACCGGGATTCAGTAAAGACAATGAGAGTTTGATATCTCGAGAAGAATTCCTTGAAGGTGTGAAGATGAGCGTTCCCCATGCCAATGAGATTGGCTTGGATGCAATTATCCTTCAGTACACTGACTGGATGGATGAGAACAACCCCCAAAAGAATCGAGATGCCATGGATGATATTGTAGGAGATCAAAATGTCATCTGTCCTCTGCAGCATTTTGCAAAGACTTACGCCCAGCACGCTGCCCTCCATGCCCAGCCGGGAGCCGCAGCTCCAGGGACACTAGGCTGGGGAACCTCAGGACCAACAGGCTACAACAGTGGCAACTCAAATGGTAAGGTCATTATAGTGTAAAACACACCGGAGTGAAGCATCAACAGTTAATAAACTTAATGCATCCTTGTTGAGTCTGACAGATTTCAGTATAAAATCCAAGACCGATGGGATGAAGATAGAGCAACAGGGACATTAACAGCATGCATCTTTTATATGAAATTCTGCAATACCAATCTATAAACAATCTATACCCCTTCTTTTTGTCCTTAGGTGCTGTTTACCTTTACCTGTTTGACCATCAAGCTTCAAACCTGGCCTGGCCTGAGTGGATGGGCGTAATCCATGGTTATGAGATTGAGTTTGTGTTTGGCCTGCCATTAGAAAAACGACTCAATTACACAGCAGAGGAAGAGAAACTCAGTCGACGAATGATGAGATACTGGGCAAACTTCGCTCGCACAGGGTAAGTGGTGGCAAAATAGCAAATGAGTCGGTGCCCATGAAAGACTTGTCTTCATTCTTTTTCAGAAAAGCTTTGATTTATCTAATAGTTGTGTAGTTTTGTATTGTTGCCTGGAAGGTTAACTCCATACATTATTTTTTTTCTGTCTCCATGAAGTAATCCCAACATTAACTCTGATGGCTCCTTGGACAGTCGGAGGCGGTGGCCTCAATTTACAGCTACTGAGCAAAAGCATGTGGGCTTGAACACAGAGCCACTGAAAGTGCACAAGGGTCTAAGAACACAAGTTTGTGCTCTGTGGAATGGCTTCCTACCTCGCCTGCTTAACATAACAGGTAACTAATGGCGCTTTTCCATTACCAGTATCGGCTCGGCTCGACTCAGCTCGCTTTTCGTTCCATTTTCCATTGTAGACAGTGCCGCCACAAATAGTACCCGGTCGTCATAGCGACGCCTTTAGTTCCTTGTTGCCCCATCAATCTCTCGCAGGATCCTCTCTTTGACCACCAAACAAAGGAAAGTCTGCACCTCCTCGTTTGACCACGGCGTATTCTTCCGAGTTGCCATAATAATAGTAGTTAGTTTAGAAACTATCTCTGGCCAAACTATTTAAAAATAGCGGGGTTATTCTGGATACTCCATCTGGCGCGGGTAATGATGAGGCAGTGAATGGTGACGATTCTCTCTGGCCATTCAGCAGTTGGCATTGTTTTCACGTGACATTTAGTTTCGCCTTTGCTCGCACAGAACCTCACCGGAGGTGGTACAAAAAAAAAAGTACCCGAAAGCAGCAGGAACAGGTACAACTTTTACACAGTGGAAAACCAAACAAAGGCGAGCTGAGCTGGTACTGTGTAGTGGAAAAGCGCCTCATGCAGTTACATTATATCTTTACACATGGAAGATATGGTAACATGGTCATTTTCTCAGAGTTTAGTTTAAAGATGAGAAACTGCAGGTTTGTGTTTCATGGAGTAAGTATAGTAGAGGGAGTCTACATAACAGTAAGATTAAATCATCTTACAAAAGAAAATGTGTTAGGTTCACCTTTTCCATCTAATTTTCCTCACTCTTACATTTTTCATTTTAAGTCTGAACAAAGTACAGCCATAATATAATCTATACACTGTTTCTCAAGGAAATGCCTTGTCTTTGCTAGTGTATCTGTTTTGCTCAGAATCTAAACAAATGTCCTGTGCCAACTATTACACTGGAAGTGAACCAGAATATAAAGCAATTAAACACTTGCTCTTGGGTGGGGGCAGGGAGGATTGTGCAGGCCTGTCCATAGTAACTTAGAATCGTAAGTTATAAATTCTCCTGTTGGGGCTGCTGCAAAATTCTTTGTTAAATGTGCGGGATCTTTATATTGATGAATTACTGTCGAGTAGTTAAGTAGTAATGGATTACTTAGTTTCTGCTGCTCTCTGTACAGAAATGTTCTTAATATCATCATTCCTGCAACCTTTTTCTCTTGCCTTTCTGTCAAAGCTCACGCTGTTGTTTTCCTCATTTATTCCCATATTTCTTACCCAGAAAACATTGATGATGTTGAGCGACAGTGGAAAGTGGAGTTCCATCGCTGGAGCTCTTACATGATGCACTGGAAGAGCCAGTTCGACCATTACAGCAAGCAGGAGCGCTGCACAGATCTCTAGATAAATCTGGTGTTAATGTAAGAAAGTGCAGATCAAAGAAAGGGAAAACTGATGACCATAACCCTTAATAGTCTCTTTTCAGAACAGCAAAGGTTGCCAAAGCTTTTTCGTTGATTAGTCTCCGAGTAGGCATGAGAGTGAATTTGTGAATGTTGCACTTTAGTGCAGTTTTGTTCCTCCCTGTTATCACTCTATTATATTATGTGAATATATATAAAGAGAATTTGTGAATTCAAGATGCTATTAGAGATTATCAAGCGCTGCGGTCATCAAATGTATCTATCAGAAAAAAAAAATGTTATAGTTATATTACCTCTGAACAGTGAGAGTGCATGTCTGTTCCATTGGAACCTAGAAACCCTCATTTACACTGGTCCTCAGGATCCCACTTTTTTAAAAATGATTTTCTTGTTTTTTTATCCTGTGTTCTTATTGGCTTAAATTATATTGGCTGATTCACCATAATGTATCTACCACATCTACTCAGTAATTCATGTGCTACTTTATCCTGCTGTCTCTGCTTTCTTACTGTGGTCCAACTCAAAATACTAATACTTGCTGGAATCAGGAGCCATTTCATTTCATGTATGTTGTTTAACTGTACGGAACAGTTTCTGTGTGGGCGAGTCTGTGTATTAATGTACTAATATTTAAAACCTATTTTTTATTTCGATTGCTACTTATATTGCATGTAGTCTAGTGCCCACAGCATAACACTTGTGTGTATGTATGAGAGAGAAAGTCTGTGTTTACCATATACCAACTACATAGGACAGTATACGTGTCTGTGTATTTCACCCTCTCCTTAGTTCAAATTTCATACGGGCATTGTATGTTTGACTATTTTATCTGGGATGGAGCGGGTAAGACTAATGTTGTCTGTGTGCCAAAGGGTCAATATCATTTTTCCCCCTTGCTGTTTCCCTGTCTCGATGGGAAAGGCTTCTCATTACGATAATGGAGAGGAGTAATTTACTTAGTGCTCATTTTAAATGACAGCCCGCTGTGTCAGCCATCTTAACTCCAGCCCTTTTGATGCAGTGGGAGGATGATGAAGGAAAACACAGGCAAAGTGAAGCTATAAGGACAAACAAGAATACAGGGTTACAAAATCCACTCCTGACATGTTCTATATTTATTGTAGTAATTGGTGTATTTTTTTTTATTATTTAAGTAAATTATTTGCATGATTGCATAAAGTATCAAAAGAACTAAAAGTTTTTAGTTAGCTTAAATAAGAGCAAATGTTTTATTTTATTTTTTGTGTGTATTTATTAAGAGTGTGGAATTGCATACGTATATATTGAATTTTGTCTGTGAATCTGGATCAAACATTATTTTGTATTTTACTGTGTGAATGTATCATGGCCAATCATTCTATCATAATATACACATGTGAACATGCCGAATTTGTGAATGCTAGCCTATGCCCGTCTCATTGACTTCCCATCAGTCTGTTTTTACTAAATCTAGAGTACGTCTAGTACCATTCATCAAGCATTTTGTTAACACTGGACTGGATCTGCGTGAGTGCTGTGATGAGACAGCAGGTCTCCCAGCACACAAATCTAGGTTGACATTAAGCATTTAACCACTGAATATGACTGGAATAATGTAGATTAGCTTTAAACAATGCCATTTAAAATGAAAATAATATGTTGTACTAGCTATAAAATATAATACAAGTATGGTGCAATTATGTGTGTTTGTTTAGGGGTATGAATGAAAGCTGCTCTTTTCCACTCCATGAAATCCCCCTGTGCATGCCTTAGACCCCTCCTCCTCTGTATGATATGCTTTTAAAATTGACTGTTATCCTCTCTGACAATTTTAGAGCTGATGTCTGTTTAATATTACACATCTATAACTATAAAAACATTATAATAGCCCAGAGATAGATATTGATGTTAGCAATAACAAAATACACTTAAAATGGAATATATTTATTTGAGTCATGTAATGTTGACTGATAAAAAAAAAACAGTGGTCATGAATTGACAGCAATGATCAGAACAGAATTTGTCACCGTTTATAAATCAGCTGTTTCTTCAAAGCAATATATGGTGCCATATGCTATATTTTTTCCGCTCTTAATGTTATTGTTTGGCTAATTTGTATTAGCTTGGCTTTAAAGGTTTCCTAATGTCAATTCTCAAGTAAATTGATTGAGGAAACCTGCCTCTTAATTTCATCTCAAAGAGAAAATATCTATAAATAGGCTATTATATTGTAAAATAATATTATTCTACCCCAAATATATGTAGAACAATGCACATAGCTAAACGCGCATGTGTTCTGCATTTGTTGCACTTTGACAACGTTTATATAATAATAGAAATAGTTATTTTTCTTCGTTTCTTTTTTTATTTGATCCTGATATCGCCTGTCGTGTCAAATTAGTGCCAAACATGTATAGTGACCGCATCGTGCAAATCCTCCGCATGATGTTATTTGTCATTTCCACCCTCTTTGGGCACCACATCAGAAGCTTTCCAACGCAACCACAATAAACAGTTATTGACTTAAAGGAAAGCTGCTTGTTTGTGTGGTTCTTCTCTCATACAAAGTTTACACTACATCTGAACGTGAATTCTAGTAGTTGATTGTTTTGTGCACCAGAGGGCAGCATACGCAAGATTGTACACAAAACTTCCATTGTGATTAAACGTAGAGTAATTGTATCTTTAACATAATATGGGGATATTCAAATTAAATGATCCATCATTGATCAGCTCTACCAAACTTGATTGTCTTTTTTTCCATGAATAAACAAACACTGTAAAGTTGTCTTGATTGATATTGTGAAGCAGCTTTGATACAACTTGACTTGACTTGATTAAAACACACATATTAAAATATAGAAATGATATTTTTTAATTATGTAATTTCTGGATACACGTTTCATGTATTGTAGGCTTTTATAGCACAACATACAAAATAATAAATTAGTTTTAAGCGTAGTCATCTCGGTGATGATCACAATGACAAGATGCAACAGTTTCATCGGAGACAACAGCAACCGTGTGTCACTTCCTCCATAATACAATAATTGACATAATTTTGGACCAATAAATATAAAAACTAGGTCTAGATCAGCTGTATATAATAATACAGAGCGAAATTATACGTAGTTAAACATGTTTAGAGAAATCTAATTGCGCAGTTTGAACGCAGCTTTGAACGTCTTGAGAACCTTTTTGTTGTTGACCAATAACAACCAAAGGCTGTAATTTCGACCAATAAGCACCGTTGAATCACAGTGTAATCTTTATGGCGCACTTATGCTACCCGTTTAGTTAAAATGCTTGTATTATTGTTTCATAATGTAAATAGTTGAAGAATGAGTATCATAGTTTATGCCAATCATTGGTAACTTACCCAAGTTAGCTAGCTTTCTCCTAACATTTCTAAACCGCAGTCCTCAGTTGTAAATCAAAACAATGACTTCCGCCTCTACTAAGGTGCGTTAAATGGCTTTATAAATATGGTAACGTTACATAAATCTCTCCAAGTCTTAATAGTGTGTACGTCCATGCTAACTGCTTCGCCGTATTTTATTTTTTGTCTTGGTTTGTTAATGAAGATATTAAATGCTAGCATGCTAACTATTAACCACATGCGCGTTTCTTAAAACATAAACGTTTTCTTAAACATTCGGTACAGTATTTATTTCTTGCTTTACGTATTTAGGTTGGTGAGATCTTTTCTGCAGCTGGAGCTGCTTTCACAAAACTGGGAGAGTTAACCATGCAGCTGCATCCAGTGGCCGATATTAGTCCAGCAGGGTGAGACACTCTCTATTCACCGTAAAGTCCTTTATTATACACTGAATGCACTAGTCTTTTGGTATATTCACTATTTTTTTTAGAGAGAGAGAACGAGTACTTTGTGTAATGGACATGGCCAGTACATGGTAAACATTTACATGAATAATTTGACCTATCTTTTGGCTTGTTTTATTTTTGAATTTCCCAAGGATCCCTCAAAAGTTGACAACACTCCTTATCTACTTTTTAATATTATCCCACTTAGTTTGTAATTGCTCCAAGATCTCATGGACAAGATAAAGTATTGTTTTCAATTATATTATGGGCCTTGTAACTTCTATTGCTGTTTAATGAGAGACCTAGGTGGATACACACTGAGTTTTTAGTAGCTTGAAAACTTTATCCATACAAAAACACAATGTAAAGACACCCTTCTCACCGTTTTGAGGTTTTACTATGGGTTAAAGTCTATAAAAAATTGTCTTCCTCAAATGTTGGTGAAATTTGCACTTTTATAATTTGCAGTTTGCAACATTTTTCCTAACATCTAGATAGGATTGCTATTTTCTAGATTCTCATTCCTTGTGGAAATTCAATAAAAGCCAAAAGAGATTCTGAAAAAGTTTTATATTGGTAGGCCATAATTTTGTCAGTAATTATTAGCCATTCATTTTCTAAACATAAGGCCACAAGTGAAGACAACTGTCAAGAGGAAGATTTATGAAGATGGTGGAATTCCTTTATCCACCGATTCACCAAAGAAGAGTACGAAAAAGGTGCCAGTTTCTATGGCTCCCCCAGCCCCACCTAAAGTCATCAGTGTGCCAACATCTCAGGTTGTGGTGACTGCCGGTTTACAGTGCCCAACCACAGGTGCATCTAGCATTAAGTCATCAAAAACAGCAGGTGAGCATTCCTCAATGCACTCATTTGTGTTGCATTTCATTTTTACACTTGAAAAAATACTACTTTCACTTCAACTGATTGAAATAATTTTAATATAGTAAAATATAACTAATACATTCATTTAATTTACCCTCAGATGTCACTCTGAGTGCACTGAATGACTCTGATGCCAATAGTGATCTGGTAGACATCGAGGGGTTGGGTGATAGTTCCACATCTAAAAAGCTTAATTTTGATCAAGGTAAGAGACTGTTTCTCTATATTTCCTATTTTCTCATGTATATATTTAAATTACTTATATTGTGCTATTCATGTTTTTCCACATTGTCTTTAGTGTTATTTCTTTTGTTCCTGGTTTTTAAGGTAAAAAATAATATCATTATTTATTTTTTTCCCTGCAGATAGTCTAAATCTTGACTCCAGTCTCATCATGAATTCCAGCGACTTGCCTTTGTTATCCCGTTGAAATCTTCTGCAACATACTATCAGGAAATTGAACTAATATTTTCACTTCAGTAAAGGAGCAAGAAACTTGCATTTTCTTAATCTGGTGAAAATGTTTCTTTTTCCAGTAAAAGACTCATTTCTAAGTTAATAGTGAAGGTTGGCATATTTTATCAGTGTAGAACAGTTTTGAAAGATGCTAACAAATATTGCTTAATACATATTCATGTTCTTGGTCCAAAATGCCTAATTTCAAAATAAGTTACTGTGAAGGCATTATTGAGTGTGCTTTTTTTTTCTTTTTTTTAACCATTCCAAATAAAAACATTATAACCAGTTATTTGTTTTGTGGGGAAAGTGTGGCCAAAAGGCTTGAAATGCATTGCTGGTTGTCAAAACTTTGTTTGGTAAACGAAAAAAATAAAATAAAAAAAAAGTTAAAATAAAAACAGTGCCATCTCCTACAGCTAAAGCACACAAAAAAAAGTCAAGATGATCTTCAACCAGGTTTTTCTGTAATCATTTTAGAGTGGTGTGGCAGTACCATCTTCTACATAAATGCAGTTTTAGCAAGTTCCATTTTTGTTTGACTTTTATAAAATTCTTAACTAGTGGGTTTATTGTTCTGAGCTAATTTTTGCATATTTGGGCTGTTAATGAATTAGTCATATACTCTTAGCCCTACCAATGTTTCTACATGAAGAACAGCCAAATCAGTATCAGAAAATCAGAAAAGAGCATGTAAAATGCAGCCCAGCAGGTCGCCTCATAAATGAAACTTTCTGCCAATATTTGTGTTCCTCATTTATCAGAAGTGACTTCAATAATCGTGGCCAAGAGTGTACAAGTTAAAATGATGTTATTTATAATTATGTTTTCTTGCAAGACTGAACAACAGCTTTCATTTTAATTATGAGATTGTCATGGTAAAATACATACAATAATTCATTTCTGGACAGGTGGTTTTCATAATGCTCCAAATACTGGAGAGTCGCCGAGTGCGTCTGTCTGAGGGGAGCAGCACAAACCATACTGGCAACCCAGGGAGAGGGCAGCTGCCAATATTGATGTGCTGCTACTGTCAGGCACACTGAGGCATCAAGTGGTCCAAGGGAGGAAAGATGACGAAAGGAACATACAAATTATATGCATATTAATTCAACAACACCTTTAATGGTTATACTATCAAAAAAAAAAAAAAGCAATGCTGATCTCCTAAAATACAGCCTAGCAAATAAAGGATGTGATTTCACAGCTTTTCAAGAACTCACTGTAGACCTGGTAATTCAGTATTCATGAATCATTAATTGTTTGTCTGTTCATTTGTAAAATAATATATATATATATATATATATATATATATATATATACACATAATATGTTTTGAGTTTGAAAAAAAAAAACCCTGCTTTGATGCATTTTTATTCATAAATCTGAAAGACAGCTTTAACTTGAAACCTGATTCTAAATACAATACAGATAGCATATCACTTTACTTGTTATCAAAAAGCTTACCTCCGATGCATTTATTACAGTCAGATTTATAATACAAGCAGAACACTAGGTGTTTAATGCTGTCATGTTAATGGAGAAACTCCCAGGCTCCCAGTGACAGCACATCATAATTTGGAATTTGCCCTTAGAACTTACAAACCATGATGTGCTGCTACAGGGCACTCTGGGCTAAATAAAAAGATGACAACAGACTTCGGTGGTCCTCACTAGGACAAGATTAGAGACAAAATTAATTGTTGAATTAAATGTCATGCATATTTAGCGCCATGACCAAGTTATTACAAATGATTGACAAAGCAATATGAACAAATTATGTTTCTTAAAAATGTAATAAAAGTTGTGTGACAGCAAAGAGTGACAGTATTACTGCAATTTCACTGGCACAGACAATCATGTGGAAGCTTGTGTGGTCATCCACTTCTTTTTAATGACAGTCTAATAATGCCCTTTGAGACTTAATAAGTGAGTTACTGTGCACACACTGTCCTAAAATGGATGTTGAGGATGAAGACAAAATGGAGGATAACAAAAGGGGGAGATGAGGAGAAAAAAAACTAGTGCCTGTCAAAAAAGGTTTTATTACCATGGGAATAATTTACTTTGGGTGAAATGAATCAAGCAAAAATTATCATTTATTAATATTTATTTTCTTTAAAAAAAAATAAAAATAGAAAAAATGATCTTCCAACTTCTTAGGCTTAATATTGTGAATGAAACAAGATTAAGTATCACTCTTATGAATCAAAGTGCATCTAATAGCATTACACATACAGTAATTTTATATTTTTAGGAAGTAAATGTTGCCAAGAAAAAAAATGTTAAATTAACTTCAAGGATTAAAAGTAAAATGTAAAAAAAAAAATGCTTGTACACTCTACACAAATCATTTTCAAAAAGTCA